GATATTCATTTGCTACTTCCTTGGTTACTTCTTTGAATTTGAGTATATTTTCCGATCCAGATTACTATGAATATCAGTTAGTAAGGTGCAACGAGAGTTTGGTGACCTGGGCCGGGTTGTTCAAAGCCCGATTAAGTTAACCCAGGATTAGCGATAATTTTGATTAATTTTTGTACATTTTCGATGAGGTTTTCTGTTTTGTATAGTTTGTCCTTCAGTTTTGAGCTTGAGTGATTTCAAACTACACAAACCTAAGCAGTGAAAAACATTTCTGCAGAAGAAAAATTATTACCTCGGTTAACTTTTAATCCTGGGTTAGCGTCAACCGGTTTTCGAACAACCCGGCCCAGGTTTTAACGTTCAACCTGTATTGTTGTCACGGACAACTGGCTCCATTTCCAGTGGCAACTTGTTGGCCTTTGATTTCATTGGCAGCAAAGTGTTTAATTAGCTGACATTGTTCACATTTTTTTTGACTCCTTAATTAACACCTAAGCTAGTTTATATCTGAACTGAACCTCTTTTAATCTGCATTTGATAATGGCGACAAGATGACGGCGAAACGTCATGTTATAGGGTTTATTTTTCTTTTAAGACGATATTGTTACCGCGGGAAATGAGGAAAGTTGCCCGTGGCAACACCGTAATTTTAAGTCCAAAACTTTGTCACTAATGCTCCGTCGTGCCTTACTTAACTGATAATCCTAGTATCCATGTTTCCTGCCTCTTATGACTAGAAATGTGACTGAAATAATTGTAGCCATGAACCCTCAATCTGTAGTTGACAAAATAACCTTTATAGCTACTCAACCAGGCGCAACACATGACAAAATATCCCGAGTTGCATGCACAAACTGTATCTGCAGTTCACTGAATAGAGATGGAGACATCTGTGTTTACAATGATGATTATGATAAGATGTATAATACGGTGTTAATAATATATATATGGTGAAGTAAAGAAGGAGAAAAAAATCTTCTCTCTAATCGTCTAACATTTGCCCATACAGGGGAAGCCCGCACAAAATTCCAGTGGAAACAATTTGCTGCAACAGCAGTCCAGCTATGAAGAAGGTTTAACAACTGCAGAAAGGGATCCTGTTAGGGAAACAAGACAAACTGATACATTAGAAGATCAGCATATCCCACAATTATGTCATCCAACAGACGGAGAGTTTAGAGATGGTGTGGATAGTCTCCATCAAAATAACAGCCCTAAGTCAGATTCAAAGCGTAAAAGAAAGTTCTTGTCTGCAAAAAATGACGATGATGTGGTGAGGTTAATAACCACAGCTGCTGAGCGTGACTCCCAGGAACAGATCGAAAGGTTACAGAGGAAGTTGCAGGAACATGAAGCAGAGAATCAGATTCTCCAAGCAGAGTTGAAAAGAACATCTCTCCTTGAAGATAAACAGATGCATGGTGAAAACATTTTCCAGTTATCCAGGGAACGTGCAGCAGATGCTGCATCTCGTGCGGAGAAGGACTTGCCTGATGGGGCAGGCTTTCTGCAAGGAGCAAGTAAGTTCTCTTTAATTCGACTTACTTTATAATTTACATTACAATGTTGCACAAAGATAAATAAGGCTTCAGTTATTTTTATTGGTTTTTGTGTTGCAAACAGATTTCATTGTTCAGTTGAACCTCTGCCAGAGGACACCTCTTGTGACCAGGCACCTCTTGTTAGCAGACACTTTTTCATGGTCCCAACCACGTAGAAACACTGCAGTTTTGTTGTTATCTTCAGTGGGTGAAAATGGGAACAGCTTATTATTTAATTACAAAGATTAATGCACATAAGCTAGAAATTGAAAATACAACTGTACACGTTAAAAGAATGTTAAAAACATTACTAAAGATAAAAATGTCTCGTTTCCTTTTGATGATTTAAGGATCACATCCTCCCACTGGCCAAACGATGTTGGACAGGATTACGGAATCGTCACTAATTCCTCCAAGAGACCACAAACTGGATCAACTGTCTGTGTCGTGTAGGAATTCTGTTAGCAGTGGAAGTGACATGGTTGTCTTGCCTATCAATTCTGATAGTCAAGATTCATCTGCGTATCCGGGCTTCCCTGACTCATCTTACGGTGTTTCCTTTTCAAGAGAGAGTTCTAGAACAACAGTCAGTTCATCAGAGTCATCAGTGTCTTCTGTTGCAGCGCCATTGAGAGTTGAGTCAACCTCCTCGTCATGCACGGCCCGCAGTGTGTGTGATGATACACCAAGGGTCTCATTAGGTCGTCTATCTGCTGTTAAAAATCATGAACGTTTTAGTGATACTTGTCCAATTAGCCCATCCTGGGGTGAAGAAGAGATATTGGAAAGTACACTCTCAAATGAGTGTGAAAGTGGAGACATGGGAAGGAGAGAAGATTGTGCTGCTAAAAATGAAGAAACTGATGGAGTTTCGGAGTTTCCTGGTGACATTAGTGATGGCCCAGGGAAACTTCACCATTTGGAAATGAAAAATGCGGCTAGTGTAGTAAAAGATGTTGTAGACTGTGGTCCTCTTCGTAGTCCTGACAGGGCTCAAGTTAGAGCAAGGTCACAACATGTGCCTGGCTTGATGCAAGACGCCCTTCCAGATGGAGACATTTCTGTGGAGCAAAATGTGCCGGGTGCATTCTGTGGCGCTGGAAAAGACACCACAGTGGATCAGTTGGTCTCTGATGTGAGCACACAGTCAAAGCAATGGGCACGTTTCGGTGCCAGACCAAGAGACAGG